AGTTCCTCCATGCTGGCTGAGGAATTCTGGGAGTTGAAGTCCGCATGTCACGAAAGGGGCCATAGTTCCCCCATGCTGGCTCAGGAATTCTGGGAGTTGACGTTCAGAAGTCATCAAGGGGGCCATAGTTCTCCCATGCTGGCTGAGGAATTCTGGGAGTTGAAGTCCACAACTCATAAAAGAGCCAAGGTTGCCTACCTCTGGTCTAGGAGGCTCACCGCTTAGAACAGGAGGACTTAGGACAGGGGTAGGCAATCTTGGCTCTTTTGTGACTCGTGGACTTCAACTCCCAGGATTCCTGAGCCAGCCATGCTGAGGGGAAAGGGAGAGGTTTCCATTGTGAGCCATGCTGGCTCAGGAATTCTGGGAGTTGAAGTCCACGAGTCATAAAAGAGCCAAGGTTGCCTACCCCTGGTTGGGTCTTTTGAAACTCTCTTTAAAATTGTCTCCTTTCTCTCTTTGCACCATGGTCCCTCCATAGCTCCCCCCAAAACCAACACAAAGACATTAAAATTATTTCTTTGGTTTAGCTCGTAATTTCTATCCCGGCATGAGACAGCGCCGAAAACGCTGGATTAAGTCTAGGAAGATCTGGATTCAAATCTCTCCTCACCCGCTGGATGACTGGATGAGAAGTCCCCCCCCCGCTCTCTCCCTAACAGCTCCTGTGAGAAAAGTGTGATGCACATCACAAAAACGCAAAATAAACGAACCCCAATTCTGTTGTTTATTATATACAAACACTGCACAAAACGTAAGGTGGTGGTTTTTTTCTTAATAAAGGGGTCCAGCTATGCATGAAACAGGCTTGTTAACCAGGTGTGAAACCTATACATCACCTATACATCCACAACCTCTGATGTTTAGGTGGTTTATAACATAACACAACTTTATATTTAAGGCAGGGGTGTCCCATTTTGTCAACTTTTAAGACTGGCGGACTTCAACTCCCAGAATTCCTCAGCCAGCCATTCATGGCTGGCTGGGGAATTCTGGGAGTTGAAATCCACCCTGCACCGCTGGCTAAGGAATTCTGGGAGTTGAAATCCCTCCTGCACAGCTGGCTAAGGAATTCTGGGAGTTGATATCCATCCTGCACCGCTGGCTAAGGAATTCTGGGAATTGAAATCCATCCTGCATAGCTGGCTAAGGAATTGTGGGAGTTGAAATCCCTCCTGCACAGCTGGCTAAGGAATTCTGGGAGTTGAAATCCCTCCTGCACAGCTGGCTAAGGAATTCTGGGAGTTGAAGTCCACCCGTCTTAAAAGTTGACAAAGTCGAACACCCGATTTGCGGCAAGCTCTCCCCCAATTTTTCCCACCTGTCTCCGGAGGAAAGACAAATTCTGATCTTTCAAATGATAAAACCGGATTGTTAATATTTATATATATATGTTTTTGCCAGAAAAGAGACTATCGTCACAGGGAATTCTGGGAGGTCCTTCTCTTTTCCGTGTAGAGATAAGAAGTCAACAGCTGTTCCACTTCCATCCGAGTTGCAAACAAACCGGGCCTCGGTTCAACTCGAACCCAGGGCAGGGAACACACATTTTCACACCCAGCGTGTAACGGGAGTGTCGGGCCCCGGGCCGAGTGCCAGGGACTGATAGTTGTGCTGGTGCTAAGAATGTCTGATCGGGGGCCCCCCCAAACTAATTCCACAGACACCCCCTCCCTACAGAGGAAGGGGCAGAAGGAAGGAAGCCCAGACCCAAATGCCACCCCAAGGATGTTGCAGAGCGGACCTAGCCTCGGGGTGCTGGTGTGCGAGGGTGGCACAAACGCACAGGGAGCGTTGCCCGCCTCCGAAGGGGGATCTGCAAGGCAGGTAGGCCTCGTCTTCTGGGCGAGGCGGGCACTGCCCACGCTTCTCTCTGTGGACAGGGGGCAAGGCGAGACTTGCCAGCGGGTAAGGTTGGTACGTAATCATCGCTCCCGGGGTTTTTCGATGTCCCCCCCTGCTAACCGAGCGGGGAAGAGCTCCGCCGGGCGTCCATGGCTGCCTCCAGGTCTTCAGGAAGAGCAGGCGGCTTCCCACTGGCGGAAAATCTGGAAGACTTTGCGGCTTTTGGCCGAGAGACTCTGCGGCGGGGAGGAGAAAGAGAGAGATACGAATGAGAAAGCGGAGCGTCACGGAGGTAAAAGCAAGGCTGAAAGGGAACCGGTTTGGTCTAGTGGGGAAGGCAGCGGGCTAGAGACTGGGAGGCTGCGAGTTCTAGTCCTGCCGTAGGCGTGAAGGGCAATTGGGTGGCTTTGGGCCAATCGCCAGGAGACAGGGAGTTCTAGTCCCGCCTTAGGCATGAAAGCTGGCTGGGTGACTTTGGGCCAATCACCAGGAGACGGTGAGTTCTAGTCCTGCCTTAGGCGTGAAGGGCAATTGGGTGACTTTGGGCCAATCACCAGGAGACGGGGAGCTCTAGTCCCGCCTTAGGCATGAAAGCTGGCTGGGTGACTTTGAGCCAATCACCCGGAGACAGTGAGTTCTAGTCCCGCCTTAGGCATGAAAAATGACTGGGTGACTTTGGGCCAATTACCAGGAGACGGTGAGTTCTAATCCCACCTTAAGCCAGGAAAACCGGCTGGTGCCTTTGGGCCAATCACCAGGAGACTATGAATTCTAATCCTGCCTTAGGAATGAAAGATGGGTGAGTGACTTTGGGCCAGTTTTCAGGAGACAGTGAGTTCTAGTTCCACCAAACACCAGGGGATTGATTGTGAGTTCTAGTCCGGTCTTAGACATGAAAGACGATTGAGTGACTTTGGGCCAATCACCAGGAGACGGTGAGTTCTAGTCCCGCCTTAGGCATGAAAGCCAGCTAGGTAACTTTGGGCCAATCACCAGGAGACTGGGAATTCTAGTTCCGCCTTAGGCATGACAGCCGGCTGGGTGACTTTGGACCAATCACCAGGAGACGGTGAGTTCTAGTCCCGCCTTAGGAATGAAAGCCAGCTAGGTAACTTTGGGCCAATCACCAGGAGACAATGAGTTCTAGTCCCGCCTTAGGGATGAAATCCGGCTGGGCGATTTTGGGCCAATCACTCGGAGATGGTGAGTTCCAGTCCCACCTTAAATAAGGCTCGCTGGAGAATTCTGGGAATTGAAGCCCACGCATCTTCAAGGGGCCAAGGTTGAGAAATGCTGAACTAGATGATGTCCACAGTTCATCCAAATCCTTCTGATCCAACTTTGTGACTTACATCCGCGGAAGGCAGCACCTAACCAATTCTTGATGTACCTCATAAAATCGGATCGGAAGGATTGGGACGAACTTTGTCATCCATTCCGGTGTTTTTCATCTTTGACCTCTTGACGATGTGTGGACATGTCTGAACGTAGTAGTTCAACTGGACTAGGCTGGGGCTACTTGGCAGTGTTAGATGGCTTACAATTTTACAATATGGATCTGTAGGAGAAGGAGTGGCAGAAACTGGGGGCGGAGTTAAAAGCCCTGCTGGCTGGGGAATTCTGGGAGTTGAAGTCCACAAGTCTTCAAATTGCCAAGTCTGGGCACTCTTGGTTGACCACTGGTAGCCCGACTCACCTCGCTCTCCAGATGGGCTGGCTTGTCTGACTGCCTGGAAGCCTGGAGAACGTTCATGACCACCTGCCAGCCACGGTCTGCCTTTTCCTCAAAGGAATCTCCTTTGGTTCCAAGCACCGTTGCCTCCTTCACCTCGTTGACCCACGGGCACCAGTCACGGTGCTGGGCAAGGGGGTCAAAGTAAACCCGGGTCATTGAATCCTGTTACGGGGGGGGGGGGGGGGGGAGAAAAACAGCCTGGATTCTCACAACCAAACTAAGTTGGTCATCTTTATCTAAGCCAGAGGTCTCCAACTGGGCCACTTTAAGACTTGTGGGCTTCAACTCCCAGAATTCCTCAGCCAGGCATGCTGAGTTGAAATCCACAAGACTTAAAATTTGCCAAGCTTGGAGACCCCTGACCCCAGGCTCAGATATTCGTATATTCCATCGAGGCACCAGAAATGGTCTTTTTTTTAACATGGACCACTAGTTCCTGGAGGGACCTGACCAAGCTTTTGATCTAAGTAGTGAAGAAAAATGGAACAGGAGATGAATGAGCCAACACAGTGCTGGGCTGCATTAACAGAGGGATAGAATCAAGATCACGTGAAGTGTTAATACCACTTTACAAGGCCTTAGTAAGGCCACACTTGGAATCCTACATCCAGTTTTGGTCACCATGATGTAAAAAAGATGCTGAGACTCTATAAAGAGTGCAGAGAAGAGCAACAAAGATGATTAGGGGACTGGAGGCTAAAATATATAAGGAACGGCTGCTGGAATTGGGTATGTCTAGTTTAATGAAGAGAAGGACGAGGGGGGACAGGATAGCAGCATTCCAGTATCTCAAGGGCTGCCCCAAAGAAGAAGGAGTCAAGCTATTCTCCAAAGCACCTGAAGGCAGGACAAGAAGCAGCGGATGGAAACTAATCAAGGAGAGAAGCAACCTAGAACTAAGGAGAAACTTCCTGGCAGTGAGAACAGTTAACCAGTGGAACAGCCTGCCTCCAGAAGCGGTGAATGCTCCAACACTGGAAGTCTTTAAGAAGAGACTGGACAGCCATTTGTCCGGTATGGTATAGGGTTTCCTGCCTGAGCAGGGGGTTGGACTAGATGACCTCCAAGGTCCCTTCCAACTTTATTATTATTATTATTATTATTATTATTATTATTATTATTATTATTATTATTATTATAATAATAATAATAATAATAATAATAATAATAATAATAATAAAAAAAAAATTGACATCCGTTCTTCTTGTATGGGGACTTCAACTTCTAATTGGCTGAGAATTCTGGGGGTTGAAGTCCAAGGCCTTCTGGAGGCATCTGGTGAGGAACCACCTGACTGGGCTACTGACCAGTTGAGAGCCATTTGGGTGAGATCTCTCCACCTTGATTGCCAATGAAGGCCTCCATCTTCTCTTCTGCAGACTAAGGCCCTCCTTTCACCTTGCCTGACCGAACTTGGAACCATCTTGGGTGGATCTTCTCCGAAGGTGCTCCCCAGTTTGATGACATCCTGTTTCGATTTAAGGTGTCCAGAACTGGACATGGAATGCCAAATGGGATCGGACCAGGTGAAACAGAACGGGACAACCGATTCCCGTGATCTCTTGTGGTTTATGTTCTTCTTGATAATCCCAAAATAGTATTTCTCTTTTTGGCTGAATCAGCCTACTGGCTCACCTTGGTCACCCTTGTGATCTAGTCCGTCAGGAATCTAGTAGCCCCCGTTTCGATGAACAAACGGCTCGTTCCCCAGTTATCTTCCCCTTCGTCCATTTCCTCGACTCATTCCATTTTTTTCTTCTTTTCCATGTTTCAGAAAGGCCTCGGGATATCTCCGCGTGTTGCTTTAGGCCTTTCCCATTTTGCCTGTCAGTAGGAGTTTTTTTGTGATTTTTTTTTAACCCTTCTTAACTACAAGAGCGCCAAAGAATGGAGGCCTTTGAACTCTGGTGCTGGAGAAGACTCCTGCGAGTCCCCTGGACTGCAAGGCGATCCAACCGGTCAGTCCTAGAGGAGATCAACCCCGACTGCTCTTTAGAAGGCCAGATCCTGAAGTTGAAACTCAAGTACTTTGGCCACCTAATGAGAAGGAAGGACTCCCTGGAGAAGAGCCTGA